TCCAAAGCTATTAAAAATATTTAAGCACCAATGGAAAATTTTAAAACCAATATACAAAGATATCAATTCAATCTTCCTCCACACTTTTTATAAGGGGCTTATAAGTGATTGTCCCATTTTATGATTTTCTTCACATTTCTATTATACAATTATACTTTCAAGAAGTTCTGCTTTAACAAAAGTAGGAAGCATTTAAAGCAGAGCCCAGATAAATAATATAAGTCAAGGAGAAGACTGTCAGTAAGGTGCTTAGAGGAAGTAGCTGTTTTTTGCAAGATGTCATAGTTCTTTATTTACATACTTCAAAACCTGTAATCAGTTTTTACCTGAAAATTTGGGTAGAGTGCAGAGTGGTACTAATCTTGAACATTGATAAAGCTTTAACTTCACTAAGTTTAAAAAACAGCTAGAGGCAGTAACCATGTGCATATACTGTTGAAGTGTTTCCTCAGTCTCGCTGGGGTGAGAGGAGAGGAGGAGGTGGAGGAGGTGGAGGAGGAGGAGGCGGCTAAGTAAATTTAAAAAAACAACTAGAAAATTGAGTTGGGTGATTTACCCAAGTCTAAGACTTCAAATGCCACACCAAACAAAATTAAGTGATTGCACATCACTTTCCTCAGCACCTGATCTAATCACATTTTCTTCAGATGCTGTTCTGACCAAGGAGCTCCGTCCTGTTGGCTGAGTGTTACCATGTTTTTAGCATTTGGACAAACTGGAGGAGCCATGGTCCTACATAATAGAAAGTTTGATCCCAAGCTGACCTCCCTCACAGTGTCCTAACTGAACAGACAAGAACAAGAACAAGGATGTAGAAGACTAACTAATAAAAACAAACCAGAAAATACTGATTTCAATCCAGATGCATAGTGTTTAATTTAAAAGACAGCTCTTTGGAAAATCCTTTCTTCTGTTGTCAAACAAGCATTGAAACTTGTCTACCTTTCCAAACATTCAATTAGAACAGAGACAAAGGAATGATACTCTTTGGCTTTCAAGCAAACACTAGGGCACAGGGTGGATGCATGATTCAGATTCACTGTTCTTTCAGATTGCCAGTTTTAATTTCTACTGCCTGATAAAAGAGATATGCTTCCTTCTCATACATTGAGCTATTTTCTACTTTCCTCTCAAAGGCAAGTCCAGCTAATGACTTTTAATTTAACATGAAAGTATCCTATAGGGCTAAAGTCTTCACTTTATAAAGTCAAATGACTTGTACTTTGTTTTCTAAGTTAATACACTACTTGGAATACAAATGAAAGTACAAATTGCAGTTGATTGATTCTGCCTGAAAGCTCTAAATTTAAGAGTCTTCTGAGTGTAAAGGTTTATATCTTTTATTTATCAACCTGGTCTCAAAAGATAATTGTATTAGGTAATATCTTGACCAATATTAGGGAATACAGAAGAAAATAAATTTGTCAAGTAGGCATATGTGAGCTGAAGTATAAAACTCTGCATATTCAGTGATATAGAGATGGCATGTTAAGGTCAAATAAGTATATTCAAATTAAGAATTAAGCAAACTATTACTGAGTAAGTCAAGTAATATTAAGAATAAAAAATTACAAATTTAAAGCATATGATTCACTGCTTATCATGATGATGGGGTAATGAGGGGTGGCAGTGTTCAGGTAACCATTTGACATTTTACTTCCATCCTCCTGCACCCTAAAATATTTAGATGTATCAGGTATATTTCTGCTACGTTCTAAGTAGAGTAAATTTAAATATCCTCCGCTACACTAGATCTACGAATAATTTTAGTCATAAATGATTTTTGTCTCAGGTAAATAGACATACTCATTTTCTAAATAAATTTATCCACGTCTGTCTCCCTGAAAGAGAAATTCATGTACAGAATACTATTGTTCTTAAAATATACATAAGAAAGGATTCATATTAATTCCCATGGATATTGCTTAAATGGAAAAATTTTGTGTCACCAATTTAAAATTCTAGAATAAGCCTCACACAGATCTCTTATCGCGTGCAACTTTGAAGTCTTGTCAGCACCACTACCTAATTTATATATGAAGTACCCTGGAGTCACTGTTTCTTTGTAGTGTTATTTGTCAAATATTCAAGCACTCCTTGAAAGTACATGTGAGCTTACTAATCAATCCCAGTGCCCTTAAATTGCACGCTACGCTATGCACAATTTTCTCGTCTAAGCATGTAAAATTCTAAATTATATTTGCCTTTGATAACTATGTTTCCCTTTATTTTAGAAGTACCACGGGAAGGAATAAAGCTACTCTAAAGTTAATATGCATCATTCTGGTAATGGAGTAAGGGCCTCTCAGGAATCTGAGAATGCGTGTGTATGTGTGTGTGTTTGTGTCTGTGGGTTTACAGGGGCTCGTCTATGAGAAACAAATGTGACTGGATACAGGGGAGGAATTCTAGTCAAGTTAAAATACTCCCTAACTTAGCATGTATTTACAGACAATGTGGAGCTTCCTGCATCGCCCTTCAGGTGAAAGCCAGGGTTACTTGTTACAGACACTCTCATTCTTTCACTCTGTGTTATGGTTCCAAGCCCTTACAAGAATATGCCTGGATTCTGTGATTATGACCTCAAATTATATCATTTTATTATTTGGGACCTTCTGAAGTCATATGGAACAGAAATATATTGTAAAACTGATTAATTTTGAGATAATTAGAAAATATAGATCAAGAGTATTATGAAGAATAAATTCAAAACTATGTGCGTATGTTTGAGACAGAGAAATATGGAAAAAGAGTCAGAGTGAGATGTGTGATAATCTATCTATAAATACACACAATATACCATGCAGAAACCACATACAACACATTCACACATACTCAGAATGGAAGAGAGAGAGAGAGAAAGAGTGAATAGGTTAGCAGAGATCACCACCCAAAGATAGGTAATTGAAAAGCACAAAAAACTTAGGTTTTTCAGGAAGCACTTTCTCCTGACTTAATAGTCTAATTAACAGTTCAAGGATGGCAGCCTGGCTACCAAGAAAAAGAGGAAATAAAGGTGAGTATCCACCCACCTCAAAGAAAAATTAAAAGAGTAAGTTAACGGTGTAGTTTTGTGAAGATAGTAATTCACTGCAACAGTTATAAGAAAAATCAAGGCAATATAAAGATCAGAGAAAGAATTCTGTGAGACCATAAAAGCTGTCAAGAACTCTAGAACTTCCCTTTGCTTATTCCTGCAATGTATCCAATGGGAACACCTAAATATGGATAAAATAATTTTTGGATAAGTGTGTAATATCCTAAAAGCTATGAGGATTATGTTGGTAACAAATCTGATAACTGGTAGGTACTACCAAGGATTAAAGATTGTTAAATATCAAAATCACATCTGCCCAATTCCCCTGAGTACATTTTTACCCTGGTTCCTGATTTTCTCACCAACTAGCAACTCAAATCTTAGCACCAAGGGCCCTAAAGTCAATTTCCTTTCTGATTTGTCTGTGTTTTTGTCAACCAAAATCCTCATGCTTTTTTAATTAAAAACATTTTTTTTGGTTCCCTGACTGCCAACTCAGGACTTAGGAAGCCAACGTTTACCCCACATACATACCTCCTTTCCTGACCATTCCAAAGAGACTAAAGAAAAAAAGAGAAATGAGGCTGATGAGCAGTCATGCGGTCCAGCCCAAACACCAGCCCAATGGTGCAGACTCGAGCTACTCAGCAGAAAACTCATGAAAGGATAAAAGGGGGCCCTGGGGGACAGTAGGATGGTGGTAGTAGGTTGTGAGCCAGACCAGTGATGCTCAGTGAGGACCCCCATTCAAAAATTCTTGCTGAATTGTATTGCTATTTAATAGCGTATCTTTATTGAAATCCACACAGGTCCTCATGTCTGGGATATTGGTGATATTAATATAATTTTTATTAATAAAAATTAAAAGCTAACCTTTACGATATCTTCATTATGTGACCAAAACTTTCTAAACACACACATGCACATGCAGGCACGTGCAAACACACACACACGTGTAATTTGAGTGCTAATGTTATCATTATCATTTCAATCATTTAGATGAAGGAAAATAGAAGGCATAATGTTTATGTAAAATGTTGAACGGTAGAGGCAGAATTCAATCCAAACAGCCCAAGAGCAGAGGCGATTTATCATGCAAACTGTTCTCACATGGCTCATAGATTCCATTTTCCTAAATAGATGTGATAGATGTCCCACAAGCTGTCCCAAAACTCAAACTTTGGGAAATGCTAAGCCAAATATATTTCATGTTTTAAATTGGCCTTTTTAAATACTTAAAAATATTTTATCAAAATTATGTGAACTGTGGTTGTAAATCAAGTAATTCAAAAAAGATTGTGCTTAAAATAATTAAAACAGTCTTAATAAAACTCTTCCTCATCTCCAGTCCTGCTTTTAACATTCTGTTATTTTGTTTTTGCTTTTGCTTTTTAATTTCAATTGGTAGTTGACACTAATGGCCCTAATATTAGAATAATGACTTTAATAATGTCTATATAATAAGTGATCAGCATGATTTCTTGATTTATATACTTTTGAGGACAATTATGAGTCCTAAAGAATAAGAATTTAGTTTACTTATGACCTTTCCCTCTACTTCCTTCTAAAGTTGATATTTACACTTTAGTTCTTCTTTTCCATATCTTTTACTTTTAAATAACACCTCTAAATTGTATTTGTCTCTCACATTTAGTAAGCTGTATTCATTGCTTGCACCCCACCTTTTCTTCCCCCATCCACACCCAGATTTCTCCCCCATCCCTGCCTGAGACACACAGCTTTGCTTTTTTATCACTAAGGCTAATGTCTACAGCCTCTCCTGCAACTACAGGCAGTGCCTTCCACTTGAGTACTGTTGGAAAATCAAATGATGTGATACCATGATACTGCAGGAGACTCAATTTTAGGCATGGGAAACATACATCTTAAAAAAATAGTTTATGGTTCAGTTCTATATTCTTCCAAGAATTAAACATTATTCCAAGACCTCCATCTACAGTACCTGTAACTTTCAGCTTTTCAGCCCCAATGGTAATCTCATCTTCATCTGCAGAAAACAGCACCCTGCCGTCTTCACTCGCTCTCACTTCAAATCTTTTACACTGAGCTTCCACAGCCTCAGCTCCTATGGTCAGAGGAAAGGTTTAAAGATGAATCTGGAATGCAGGAAACCATTAACATGCAGTTTTTTTTTTTTTAGAAAAAGAAGAGAAATGCATATATTATTTAGTTAATCTCTACAGTACATTTTATACCTAAATTACTATTTTAAAATTATCATCCTTTTCAGGAGGCTGTCTAATTTGGTGCAGGATGGCTGGGCTAGGATGGCTGAGTACACATATGACCTCTAAATTCTTGATGTAGTCCTGACAAGGTTTGTGAGTTTAGCCAGTTAAAAATTCTTTGCATATATACAAGGAGAGACGACGTCTGCTTTGTTCTTGGTTGCTGCTTGAAGGCTTGGTATTACACAGGGCATGCACTGCATGCTTAATAAGGACTTGTGGACTGAATGACTCTCCTATTTTCTCTCTGCGAGTAGAAAATTGTGCCCACACTTGCTACATCACAAGGTACTTGTAAGGCATTATTTAGTTGTGAAACTTATTCTATATTTCATAGATTTTAATATTGAAATTTGTTTGCTCTTTACCATCACTGAATGTGAATCCATTTTAGATTCAATATTGCAAATGTGGGTGTAAAATACATACATATTTTAGTGTTCTCCAGTGTATCTTCTAATCAATAATTGTCTTAATTTATTAAAATACAATATTAGATAAACATAATTACATCATGGAATTGAAAATCTATTTCCAATTTAATTTATTGAAAAATTTTGCATATTAAT